GCAGCCAGCTGGACGGTCTCCTGGGGGTGAGGACACGGGGTCGCAGAGGTCACCGGCCTTCAGCAAAGGCCCCAAGAACCCACGACTTCAATGGTGGGAAGAGGTCAGGAGGGGGCCCCTTCGGGGTTCTTAGGGAGGTGACAACCCCAGACACCAGGAGGGCCGGAGCGCAGGTCACGCGTGGTTCTCAGCTTTGACGGCCGAGCGGGGAGCTGGGAGCTGACGCCCGCGGAGCTCCCAGCCGGGCCAAGGGGAGACCCAGGCTCTGAAGGGACCCCCACCCCAATACCTGGACTTCATGGGTCCTCCATCCGTTTCCGCCAGGCCCCCGGGCACGCCAAACAGCCTCCCCAGCCACAGGCCTCGGCCGGGTGCCGTGTCCTCCGTGGGCACTGGCCTCGCTTGCGGGCCTCCGGCCACCGGCCCAGGACGCCACGACCTCCACCGGGGCAGAGGGAAGCCCTCGCTGCCCCCCGAGGCGTAGACTCGAGAGGCCTGGGTCAGCTGCTCCCACCAGCTGCCTGGTGCGGGGGCACCGGCGGGAGCGGGAGGGCCCGGAGCCGTCTCCCCCGCGGCCCCCCGAAGGCTCTGGGCCAGCCGTCCCCCCCAGTGCAGCACGGCGTGCACCGTCTGCTGCAGGGCCGGGGGTGAGCCGGGCCTGGCAGCGGCCGGGGATGGGCCCAGGGGCAGGTGGTGGTGGTGCTCAAAGAGCAGGTCCAGGTGGAAGGTGAGCACCGAGAGCGGCTGCAGCAGGAGCAGCAGCTCCGTGGACAGGGCGGGGCAACCGCCCCGAGCCAAGGACAAGAATCCGGTGGGCAGGTACAGGAGGGACAGTAGGCCTGGGGAGAAGCAGGCCACCGTCAGACCCCCAGCCTCCGTCTATGCTGGGAGCTGCGGGGGCGGAGCCCGCAACCCGCAGAACCAGGAGTGACACTGCATGCAAAAAATCAGGGGGCCCGGAGCAACAGTGTGGGGGTGCACTGGCCTGGAGCCTCACCCAACAAGGCCCCAAGGCTGAGCAAGCGTGCCCGAGGGTTCGGGGGAGGACAGCCCAAGGAGACCCTGGGGCAGGCAGGCAGGTGAGGCAGAGGCAGGAGGCAGGGGAAGGAGGAAGAGGCGGGTGGACGGACTCCGGGCTCCGGAAGTTCCCTGGAGGATCTGGGTTTTCCCCGCTGTGGGGCAGTGCCATGCACTGGACGTGGGAGGCACCGAGGAACAGAGGTGGAGCCGGGGACCAGGGTCCCTCCGGCATCACTGGGACCCGCAGCAGAGCCAGCTCTCTGGCTCCCTCCCCGCCTGCCACCCCGCCCTGCCCGCAGGAGTCTGACCTGCATCTTCCTGGAGGCTGGAAAACCACAGCTCCAACTGCTTAGTGCTGGGGACGAAGGACAGCGAGGGCTCAGGGCGGTGCAGTGCCCCTGCCCCTCTGTGTGGGGGATGAGGAGCTTCCAAGAGCGACAAGGCCCCAGCGCCGCGACCCTCCCGCCCGGGACACCCGTGTAGTCCGGGCCGTGGGCGGGGCGCCAGGAAAGCGGCCACTCACTTGAGGAGACCCAGGATGAAGGCGTGAAAACGGCTGCGGCTGCTGCTCAGCGGGGCCAGGCGGCTGACCTGGCTGTACAGGGTCCCCAGCGCACAGCTGCTGGCGCCTGCGGACACCGCGCGGTGAGCCGGGCCCAGCCGCGCCCCGGCCCGGCCCACCCGCCCGCGCCCCGCGCCCACCTGGCTTCACCGACGCCTCCACCACGCTCCAGGGGCTGCTCCTGCGCTGCCCGGTGATGAGGTCCTTCCGGAAGGGCTTCAGCCCGTCGGCCACCAGGGCGTGCAGGGCCGGACAGAGGGTGGTCAGCACCAGATGACCCACGTCCGGGCTCAGCCGGCTATCCCCCAACTGGGCCTGGAGGCGGCACAACCGACACGTCCTGGGTGGATGCGGCCCCCTCCCCGCCGCCCGTTCGTGCGGCCGCAGGGCCTCCCACGGGCACCCTCACCTTCTGAACCAAGTTCCGGGCGGCCCCGAAGTGCGAGATGATCTTGTCCACCGAGGCGCTCACGGCTATCAGGAGCCCTGCGAGGGGCGGGCAGGGAGCGCGCGTCTGTGCGGCGCCCGCGCCCACCCCAGGCCCCCGCAGGCCGACCCGGGGGCGGAGAACGCGGACCCGCCGCAGCTGCCCCGGAAGCTGGGGTCAAGGAGTCCGGGCGTCCTACCTTTCTTCTGCTCCTGCAGCTGGCCAGTCCCGCTCTGGGCTTCTGCCATCCACCGTCGCTGGGCCCCTGGGGCGCCGGCGAACGACCAGGAACTCCGGGCTGGCGTGAAGGAAAAACGCGGCGACGCTTACGAGGGTGACCCGAGGACGCCGGGTTGGCGCCCCGGGCCGGAAGCGAGCTGGGGCAGGGGATGGGCGGGGCGCCTCGCGCTCGCCGTCCCCTCCCCCTCCCGGGCCGTGCACCCACCTCCGCCCCGTCTGCCCCGGGCCGGACGGCGCGCGCCCCGCCCGCTGGGCCGGTGGAGGGAGGGCAGCCCGGGGAGCACGTGGGGGACCGGGACCAATGGGCAGACAGGCCGGCCGACGAGAATGGGAGGAGACACGGAGGGAGAGGCGACCCCGGGGTCGGGAGGCTGGGAGGCGCGGGCGTAGGCACACCCGGGTCCGGCGCCCGCTTCTCCCCCACCCTCCCGAGCGAGGCGGGGACCGAGCCCCACCGCGTCCCCCGCGCCCCCGGCACCGCAAAGGCCCCGGACCGTGCACTTGCTGGCACCCCCTCAGCCCGTGCCCCCCACGCCCGGGCCTCGAGGTCCAAGGCCCTGCCCCACGGCGGAAGGCGGGGGCCGGATGCCCGCCCCCGAATCCGCTGGCGGGCGGGGCCGCGCCGCCTTCCCCGAGGACGCTGGGGGCTGAGGTCCGGCGCGGGGGGGGCGGAGCGACCCCCGCGGGCGAGCCCGGGTCCGTCTTACGTAGCCTGGGCGGAGGCGGCGGGCTCCTGGTCCGGCGGGGGGCCTTCGGCGGGCGCGGCGGCGGTGGCAGCGGGGGGGCGGGCACCTGGCAGGGCGGGGGGGCCACGGCGGGGAAGGTGCTGCTTCTGGGAAAGAGCGGGGACAGCAGCAGTGCCAGCTCGGGGCTGGCCAGGCAGGGCAGGACCCCCCGAGCCGGAGGCGAGTGGGCGCCCACGGGGGACAGGCGGACGGGCAGCAGCTGCTTCTGCGGGGGCCTCGGCGCGCCCAGCAGACGCAGCTCCGCGCGAGGCGGGCTGGCGGGAAGCGCCGGGAGCTGGGTCCCCGCCGCGCCCGCGCCCTCCAGGAGGGGGCGCGCGGCGGCCGCAGATCGCGGGGCGGGGGGCGGCGGGGGGAGGCCGGCTGCAGCGGGGATGGGGGGGCGGCGGGGGCGGGGCGGCAGCCAGGCGGGGCGGACGGAGAAAGAGGGAGCAGAGAGTTAGTGCCGCAGCCCGGCGGGTCCCCCCAGGGCGCCCCTCCCGGAGCGCTCTCTGGCCGCGGCCGGGGGGGAGGGGGTTGGGGCGGGCCGCACAGACGGAGGGGGCGGGGCCGCAGCCCGGCCCCTCCCCGCCCCGCCGTTCCCCGCGGCCGCTTACCCGCACGGCCGGCCTGCGCGCCCGGCTCCTCCGGCTCCCGGGCGGCGGGGACCTCCTGGCCAGCCGCGGGGCTGCCCTCCCTGCCCTCCTCGGGCGGCCGCTCGGCGATGGGCTGCAGCCCCGGACGGTTCTTCCTCCTCCGCGGCGGCACGGGCGGGGGCGGGGGCCGGGGCGGCACCAAGGCCCAGCCGGCCGGGGGGTCCCGGGGCGGCACCGGCGGGGGCGGGGCCCGGCTTCGGGAGCGGAGCTCCTTGAAGGTGGTGACTTCCCGGGGCGGCGCGGGGGAGCCGCCGAGCGAGCCGCTGGGGGGCAGCTCGCTGTCGGGCGAGAAGACGATGAGCCAGTCGCTGCGGTCTTTCTTGACCTGCGGCGCCAGGGGCAGCCCCGGGCCCCGCCTGCGCTTCTGGGCCAGCTCGTGGAAGGACGTGATTGTCCGGTGGGCCGCCGGCTCCTCGCTGACGTCACTCCGCCACCCCGCGTCGGTCCTGGAGCTGCCATCAGTCACTGCCGTGCGGCCTGCCCACCCCGAGTCGAGTTTTGCGGGTCGCGAGTCCCCAGCGGTGCTGCAGCCGGAGTCCCTGCTCTCCGCGGCTTTCCAACCCGCGCCCGGCGTTTCCGTGTCGATCTTCCAAATGGGGTTGATCTTCCAGCTGGGCTCGGTTTTCCCAGCGTCGGCTTTCCCGTCATCATCCGCCTCCGGGAGCTCGGAGGCAGGGAGGTCCAGCTCCCCACCGTCGTCCTCCTCCTCCGGGGCTGGGGAAGGGGGCTCCTGGCAGGTGGTCAGGGCGTTGCAGTTGGAGTCCAAGCCGGGGCCGGGTGGGGAGGAAGCTCCCGAGCAGGAATCGGGCGAGCAGCAGAAGCTGTCCGGAGAGCAGGCTCCGGGGCCGACGGAGCCCAGCGGGGAGCCCTGCTCCAGGGGGACGATGCTGGGCTGAGGGTGGACATCCTCGTCGCCCAGGAGGCCCCTCGAGTACACCGAGATGGGGGACTCGTCGGGACTAAGATCTGAGCAGGAGCTGAGAGAGGAGGAGCAGCCCGGGTCCGAGGGGGAGGCGGCCCCCTCTTCCTCCCGGGCTGGGTCCTGCCGGTTTTCTAAGCCCGGCCCGTGCTCCTGGCAGCATCTGCAGGGCACCGCTGGGCTGTTGGAATTGGCGTCCACCAGGGCTCCGCTGCAGGGCCCCCGGCTCTCCTTGCCCCCGGTGTCCCCGGGGGGAGGGGGTGTGCTCAAGGGCCCCTCCCGCAGCTCCGGACGGCGGGACAGGTGCAAGCCCAGGGAGACGTGCTGGAGGTGGATGTGGTTGAGGTTGCAGAGTAAAGCCCTCTGAGGGGACAGCATCGTGCCGGTGGCGACGGGACGGCCTCTGGAGAATCCGGGAAGTCGGGCCTCTCACCCGCCTACCTGGCAACCGCAGATGCAGACCTGGAAGACGGAGAGTGATGCCCAGCCGGAGAGGACGCGGGCCGCCAGAAGGACACCGAGGTGACGGCCAGCTGCAGCAGGCGTGAAAGGCGCCGGCCGCTTTGGACAATATTTCAATGAGACGCAAACGTCCACACTGCAGTATTTGCAGGTGGAGCTGGAGGGAGCCCCCCGGGACTGGGGCGGGGAGGGTCAGAGAATGCGGCTGCGCTCTGGATTTCCGTGGAGGTGCGGGGGCTTGGAAAAGGATGAGGCCCAGAATGGAGCCCCGGATCCTCTCTGCGGCAGTCTGGCCCTGCACCGGCCCCCCCCGCCATTTCCCCAGCCTGCCCTTCACTCCCAGGGGAAGGGGCCGAGGCAGGCCCCGCCCAGATGCCCGTTAACGGGGTGGGGGGAGGCGCGGCTGGCTGCCTAATGCGGGCAAGGGGCGGGCGTGGGGACAGAGACCGAGTCCGGTCCGCGGAGGTGGGCCAGCCGACCCCCGCAGCCTCGGTGCCGCTCTGCTCGGACCCCGCGCCTGCCCGTTCTCTCCGCGCTCGTCTCCGTCCCCCGGGCGCCGCCCCACTCTTCCGTGCAATGCTCCTGCTCGCCTCTCCCGCACCCCCGCGGGCCCCGATGCTCCATCCACACCCACCGCTGAGCCCCCCCTCACCAGGGTCCTCCTGCAGCCTCCGCAGCTGGGCTCCTCCACGACTCCCAAGGTCCCCGCCGGACCGCACCGACTGGAAGGGGGGCGCTAGGACAACCCGCCGGCGCCGCGCAGCCGCGCCCCTTCACGCAGAGGCGGGGCGGGGCCCGGGCCCAGCCCCCATCGCCTGACGTCGTGCGCGTGTCCCCCACCTAGGCCCGCGCGCGGCGTCGGAGGCCTGACGCAGCGGGTGCCGACCGGTCCGCGAAGCCAGCCCCAGGGGATCCCGGCCGCCCCCCACCCCTGCCCGGGCTGCCAGAAGCAGGCGCAGAAGAACCACAAGAAGCTTCGATGATTTATTGAGAGCCGCCCCGCCCTGCCCCGCCCGTGCAGCATCCAGGTCACTTCTTCCTCTTGTAGATCTTGTTCGCCAGCCCCAGGAAGATGGCCCGCGGTAGGGGCGACGCGTGCTGCTCGATGAGGCCCATGAGGCGGGCGTAGCTCTCCTCCTCGTACTGCGCGAACACGGCGGGCAGGTCCAGCTCCTCGTACAGCGCCTTCACCCAGGCCACCTTCTCCGCCTCCTTCTGCCCGTAATTCTCCTGGGAGGGGCGGGAGGCAGGGAAAGGGCTTAGCACCCCCGCAACGGCCCTCATCCACACATTCCAGCCTCCACCGTCAAGGGCTCTGGAGCGCCTGCGGTCTTGTCCTTTGCGGCCGGCAAACCGTCAGAGAGCAGCTCGTCCGGTTTCCTCCACCTCGGCACTACCAAGGCCGGGGCTGCCTAAAAACGCGGGGGGCTGTTGTGTGCAAGGGGGGGAGGGGTGCTGTCTGGAGGCTCATCTGGCCTCTACCCACTGAAGATCCCCATAGCACGTGACAGAAAATGTGTGCTGATGATGCCAGACATCCCCTGGGGTGCACAGTCACCACCACCCCCTTGAGAATCCTTGCTCTGTCCCTTTCCTGGGAGCTCTGGGGTCGCGGCCACACAGGAACCTGCAGCAGCCGGCGCTGTTCCGGGGACGCCCGCTGCAGACACTGAACCACCAGCCAGCTGCATTTGTTGTCCTGGATGTCTGTGCCGATCTTGCCCGTCACACTGGGGTCCCCAAAGAGGTCGAGGTAATCGTCCTGGGCAGGGGGCAGAGGAGGACATGTGAAGAGGCTCCACAGCGGGGCCCTGGGGGCTGCTGTCGCCCAGTCCCTGCCTTCCCACCTGGATCTGAAAGAACTCCCCCATCTGCAGCAGGATCTCCTTGGCATTGGCGTGCTCCTTCTCGCCGTCGATGCCCGCCTACGGCGAAAACGGAACCAATAAGCCGAACACCGGGGGGCCTTCACTTTCCTTGCTGCACCTCCTGGGGGCCCCCAATGCGGGCCCCGGATCCCCTCCCCTCTCTGTTCAGACGGCCCTGGCTTCGGGGCTCTAGGATGTCTTGGTGGTCCGACCTCTAGCGCGCCTCTTCCAGCGAGGCCCTCCGGCATGTGCCCTCAGACGGGAGGCCGGCGCGTGCCCAGCCCGACTCACTCTTCCTGCTCCTGCCTGGATCGAATGGGAACTGGGGAGAAGTGAGGCCGGGGCGCGAGCAGGCCGCCCGCCACCAGCCTTTGCACCTGGTCTTCTTCCGCTCAGTGTGAAACCACCCCCATTCCGACCAGATGGAGGGCGTAGTGCTCCCCCAAGGCGGGCGGACCCCTCGCATATCCCGGCCTCCGCTGGCCTTCACAAAAATCTTGAGGGGACTCCATCATCGCACAGACCCCCTCAGACCTTCAGTGACTTGCCCGGGGTCACAGGCCAGACAGCAAATTGTCCGAAGTCCTCTGCTTTGTGCCGTCTGTCCAAAAGCCCCACCGGTGAGCAGCAAGGGGTGGGAGGCTCACTCACCATGTACATGGCGGCAGCCACAGGGAGGTAGAACGAGTAGAAAGCGGTCTTGTACTTGACAATAGATTTGTACCTGAGTAGGGGGAGAAGGTCAAGTCCTCAGAAGGAAAGCGCACGGCAGAGCCCTCCCTCACCGCCTGATTCCCTGTCCCTCACCTCTTCTCAGTGAATCTGCCAAGATCCACGTTGCCCTGGGGGGCTGTGATGAGGTCCAGAGTCTGTCCGATCTCCGTCTGATAGGAACTCTGAGGAAGAGGGAGACGGCCCCTGAGCTGGGCTTTCCCTGGGGCCGGGAAACCCTGAAAGGCAGCCCACGCCACAGGCCGAGACCGCGCTGCCCAGCTCCGCTCCCTTCCAGGCGAACCCGGCGACACCCCGGACCCCGAAACCCCCGAGGCCGCACCAGCTGCGGACAGCCTGGCCCGGAGCCCGGGCCTGCGCCGCACCTGAAGGAAGAGCTCCAGCAGGTTCAGGTAATAGGGCTGCTGCCGGCAGCGGAGCCTGAGCAGTCGGTAGACACAGGCCTCCAGCAGCAGGGCGTCGTTGACGGCGTCCAAACCGATGCCCGGCTGGCGGGGACACGGAGGAAAACAAGCTGTGGGCCCCTGGCCGTGCGGAACAGCTCCGCGCGCTGTGCCGCCCCGAGGCCTGGCCGCTCTACCTTCTGATACCAGCAGATCTGCCCCCGCCGGGTGAGGGAGGAATCCATGATGTCGTCGGACACCAGAAAGAAGGACTGCAGCTGCGAGAAGGCAGACCGGACTCAGCCGCGGGGCTCCTCCCGGCGCTCCTCCGACCCGCTGCGGGGCTGCCGCTGCCCAGCGCCGAGCGAGGAAGGGCGGTCGGGCCGGGGAGACCGAGGCCCGCCGTTCTGCGCTGTGGGGCCGGGGAGGTTCTAGGACCTCGCTGTTCCGGCTTCCGAGCAGCAACCCGGGAGACGCCAGCGGGTCTCGCCCATCGCCTCGCGAGCAGCCCTGGTCGCGGGAGGCACGGGTGTCGCATTCTGCGGGCTTCTCTCGCCAAGAACTTGAGCGACTGCTTAAGGCCCCTCCCCGCAGTGCCTTCCAGGGACTTCTGTGAGGAAAGGAGGCCCGTCCCGTGTCACCCCCAGGCCCTCCGCTCACACAGGACAAAGCCACACTTCGGGGCACTGACAGGCCAGAGCTGCAGCCTCCCTTGGCCACGTCTGCCTGCAGGTCTCCAACGTGTAACCACGCCAGCGGCAGCCGAGGGCCTCTCCTCTGGGCACCGGCCGGCCTCGGAGGCCCAGGATGAGCTGGTTTTCCCAGCAGGTTGTTCAGTCCCTGGAGGCCAGGACGTGTGCCCACCTGGGGCCGAGCACGGCACTCGCCCCAGAGCCGGTGTGTCCTAAGCGCCTAATGAATGCGACGCTGTCCCGAACCCCAGACTTCCCGCGTTCACGCTACACCTTCCCAGCCTTTAAAAACAGCTTTTCAGGACGTGGTTTTAAACCTTGGCTCCGTCCTGCTGTGTGGACCCACGGGTCTGCCTCGCTCCGATTCCCCAACGCTGCCCGTGGCCTCCAGCACGCTCAGTGTGCCGCAGCCTGCGGTGGCCACGGCTCTTGCCCCAGGTGACCCCTTGAGGAAGGAGGCGCTGATCCGCGCCCGTACGTCTGGCCACACACGGGCTTTCCACGCGGGAGGCGTGTGTGTTTATGGGGTGCTGACTTGGGGCCCCTGAGGACACAGGCCCCTGACTCCCCCACCTGCTTTCAACCAAGATGCTCTCCAAAGGGCCTCACTGCACAGCCTCCCTCACGCCCCTCTGCCCCACAGCAGTGGTTCTTAACCCAAATGCACTTCCTCTTTATTAGGGGACCTTTAAAAAAACAAAATACCAGCGCCAGAGTCCCACCCCCGGTCAATTAAGAGAGAGATCGATCCGCAGTATTAGTTGCAGTGAAGGCCTGTTCCGACGGTTAAGGCCTGAAGAACTGAGAGCCGCCAAACACGGTACCCTCGATGTGACCTTAGATGCTTAAAAACAAAACAAAAAAACCTAGAACAGACATTTTGGGGAGAGTCAGGAATATGTAAACACGGACTATGCGTTAGACACTATCACCGTTACTGGGGTCTGAACGTGTCCCCCCTGATGCACACGCTGAAACCCTAACCATCAGAGAGGAGCTGCCCAGCCCCTTCCCCACAAGGGGCTGCGGCTGGCAGGGGCTGCTGAGCCAGGAGGGGGCCCCCAACCACACTGGGGCCTTGGTCTTTGACTTCCAGCTTCCAGAAGTCGACAAAATAAAGCTCTGTTTTTTCTGCACTACGCGGTGTGCAGTCTTTCGCTGGGGCGACCCGCGTGAGCGGAGACAGACGTGACCAGGCACGGTGCTGAGGCGGGCAAATGTCCTCGCTCCTAGGAGGTGACGGCTGAAATGGACTGTAGGACACGAGGCAGGAGGAGAAAGATAAAAGCGGAAATTGTCACAGAAGTCCCCCAAGCGAAAACAACAGCGGGCAGCTCAGGTGTACTGGCAGGTGCCGGCACCGCAGCCGCGTGTCATCCCCTACCCGCCCCCGCTGCTCCCTGGGGAGCAGCAGGCAGCTCTGACTCAGCTCTGACTTGTGCCGTGTCCTTCCACCAGGTGACCCGCCCTGGCCCCACAGCTCTGCTCCTCTGTTCTGCCCAGACCTGCCCGGCCTCCCTGCCTTGCCCCGCGGTGTGTATGGGCTCCTTGTCCCCAGCGCCCAGTCCCGCAGTGACGCCACTGTCCCTTTCCCTCCTTGGAGGCAGATCCCGCCTCCCCAGCCCCATGGCAATTCCAGACTCCACGGCTCTGACGGGTCCACCCACGCTGCCCAGGTGGAGGAGGCAGTGTGGTTGGCCCCAAGCACATCACACCACCCTTGAGGTAGCTGCTCCTTTCCACACGCCAGGTCCTGAGTGCCTTCCCTTCTGAGCCCACTGCCACTCTCCTCGGGGCCTGGCGCCGCTCCTGGAATCCAGGCTCCTGGCCACTAATGAAGCTCTCAGGCTAGGCAAGGAAACTGTACCCCTCCTCAGGGGCAAACGAACTGGGTACAGGAGACAAGGACACATGGGGACTGGAGCCAACCAGAGAGCAAGCGAGCCACACAGGCGCACATGCCCCGCCAGCCGGGCTAGGACTTACCACCAGCCCGCGGATGCTGCAAGGGAACCTGGGCACAAATGTAGCAATTTTCCAAGCGATGCTAGAAATCTGGGTTTTTATGCAACCTCTCTTCTTGCTTAAGTTTAGAGCACTTCGCTTTAGGAAACGGCCAGCTGGCGGGCTGCAAGCCTTCCGTCTCTGCTTTAGAACTGCCCCTGGAAGAACTATGCCATGCTGACGGCTGTCCTTGCTCAGAGGAAAGAGCGGACGCCTTTATGCCCGGTTCCAAGGCCCGGGGCCCACAGCGGGCTCAGTCTGTAGGTGAAAGGTGCTCCCACGGGCAAAGGAGTCCCCGCGTTTGTTAACCCTTAGAGTGAAGCACGGCTAAATCTGACTACTAATGTCCAGAAACACATGGAGAAATTCGTCTCAAACTCATCCCTCCCCTTCCCCCCAGGTCAGCCCCGACCCTGGTTAAGACCTCTGCGTCTCCTGCCGTCCCCGCTCCTTACCAGCTCAACACACCAGCCCACGGTCAGGGCCCGCCCGAGGCTCTCGGCGTCCTGCTTGCTGGGCTCCACCAGCTCCCGAAATGCTATCAGCACCGTCAAACCCCGATTGTACTTGCCCCCAGTCACATTGTACTCCAGGACCTGGGGGCGAGGGCAGAGGAACAAGACAGCAGGTTCCCCAGAGCGCCTACTCTTAAGACTTCTCCCAGCCCTCTCCCGATTCCAACCCAGACTGGATTTTAACCTCCTCAGGCCCCATTCCTCCTCCCAGAGCCTGTGGAATGGCAGCCTTGGCTGCCATCTCCAAATCCCAGAGCACAGCTGGAAGGGTCCCTCTGCCCTCTCTCTGCCTGGTCTTCCTCAGGACATTTGTTTCCTTTTAAGCTCAACACCGGGCTTGAACTCATGACCCTGAGATCAAGGGTCACACGCTCGACGGATTGAGCCAGCCAGGCGCCCCGTTCCTCAGTAAGTGGTTAGGGCTCCACGCTGCACATTAGAATCTGCTCCCAAGCGCCCGAATGCACTATACATACCACTAGAATGGCTGGCTCGTCCGGACTCTGCTTCCCAGCTTCCAGCCCCATCCCCACCTCTCCGAGACCTCCCTGCCACTTACCCCTCCCCACCGTCCAAACCATCAGCAAAGGAAAAGCCTGTCTCATTGGAGGAAAGACAAGCCTCCCAAAGTTGGCCGGAAGTGCGCTCAGGAGGGGGAGGGGACCCAGGCCTATCGCCTCCTGCTGGGAGCTCTCTTTTTTGCCTTCTGCTGCCCTGCAGTCCCCCAGCTCCAATGCAGTGTCAAAACCTCCCTTCTAATCGTCATCCCAGTGTAGGCAAACCTTCTCCTTGGTTCTCCTCAAACAAACGAGACAGTATTTATAAAAAGAATTACTAGATATCCTAAAAGAATAAAAAATTAGGCAGCTCAAATATACCAGCTGAACTTCCTGCCCTGGAGCAGAGGTTTCATTTCATTTCTTCTCTTTTTTTGAGTACTTATTTACTTTAGTGGGAGGAGCAGAGGGAGAAGGAGACAGAGTCTTAAGCAGACTCCACACTGAGTGCAGAGCCCAACACAGGGCCTGATCTCATAACCCATGAGTTCATGACCTGACCAGAAAATAAGAGTCGGAAGCTTAACTGACTGAGCCACCCAGGCGCCCCAGAGGAGAGTTTCTGGTGATGCTCAGCTTCCCCGGAAGCTCCTCGGGCTGCCTTCTTTCCAGCTCCCGGACAAGTGGCACCTGAGAACTCCTGGACACCTAATTCCCTTTCTCAACAAAATCCAAGACTTAGCAGGCACTCCAGGGGCCTCCATCCCAGAGAACGCAGTCTGGATGGCTCACCTGAACCGCGAGGCAGGGTGGGTGGGCTGTGTAAGGGTCCCTGCTCCCACCCTGCCCCCTCCAGAAAAGACTGAGTCACTCAGGTAAAAGCCGCCCCTCCTCTCACCCCGGTGTCAAAGATCCCCCAAAAGCCACAGCTGGATCCCACACATCTACAGAGTGAACTGAACCTCAGATTAAGTCTCTGAAGTCACCAATCCTTCACCTCCTTGAGCCGGGCAATGGCATCTCCTGTCTCTGGGTGGCCCACGCCATCCTCGGTCAGCACCTTGACAATCTGGGAGAAGTGCTGGATGAAATCCTGCTTTGCTTGGGCGTAAGAGTCCGATTTCTGGTCTCCGTTCATTGTGAAGGAGGAGTAAAGTGCTCTGTGGAGAGAGGAAAACCAGGTCAGAAACCTGAGCAGCTGCTTCCCTCCCCGAGGCCCCTCACCCCCCACCACACTCACCGAGGCTCCTCTGTCCACGCTTGGCACCAGCAGCGGGCACCATGCCAGGCCCCCAGGACTGGGCACCCGCGCACCAGGGAGGGACGCCGAAGGGGACCCAGCCACCTCTCCCGGGGGACCCAGCAGGGGACTGGCAGCAAGAAGACGCCCACAGATCTCAGCCAGCGGGACAGGGGCATCATGGGGGTGGCATAGGGAGGGGGCACCGAGCACTCCCTGCAGGGGCAAGCACCAAAGGCAGATGCGCGGCGGCGGCTCCTCAGGTCATCCCCACCACTCTTTTATCTCTGGGCCCAGAACGCCGCGCTCTCTGCTGAGCTGGGCCTGAGGGCATTTCCAGAGAGAAGGAAATGCAAGGAGCAAAAGGCATCTGGTGACCGACAGTCAACGGGTCGCGCTTCACGCAGCGCGCACGTGACACCGCAACTCAGTGCCACCTAACCGTCCCCTCCAGCGCTGACTCCTGCAGCGAGCCTCCGGAATCGCCCCCCTCTCGGCTTCCTCCCCCAAGCCCTGGGGCACAGCCGGAGCAGTCCGCACTAGAGCTCCGGAGGACGAGGGCCGGGAGCGCCCGGGCAGCGCCCTGCTTGATGGGGGCCAGCTGAGGCTCTAGGACGCAGGAAGACCCGGGGGCAGCGGCGCCAAGTCTAGAACCCGGGTCCCCCCGGTAGGCGGGGAAAGGGCTGTGCAGGCTCGTGGATACCCCAAGAAGAGGAGAACTGCGCCGTAACCGGGGGACCACGGACACGAGGTCCCGGGCTCGGGGACTGGGCGCCCCGAGCCTCACAGGCAGCGCTGGGACCTCTCGGCCAGCCTCGGAGCAACACGGCGGCCGGGGAGGCTGAGGCCGCACACAGCCGGAAGACCGGCCGGTCAGGCCACCGGCCCCCGACACGGGGGACCTCCTGGACCCCGCGGTACTGCCACGAAAGTGGGGCTGAGGCTCCCACCGCCGCCCCAGTCCCCGCCGGAGACCTCTCTCACCTGCTCCTGGATGCCGCCTAAGGTTCAGTCCTAGCCGGGAACTCAGAAAACCGCTCCGCTCGGCGCGCGGCCCTCTGGGTCCGGTAGTTCCCGAGCTCCCTTCCTTCTGGACGGAAAAGCCTCACCAGACTACAATTCCCGGCATGCCGCGGGAGGGACAGGCCCACACGGTCTCTCGCGGGCCGCCTGGGCGGAGACGAGCCACGCTGACTGGCTGCCTCCCCTCGTGTGAGTATGGGGCCCTGGGCCGGACAACCAATGGCAGGGCTGCGTCCCGGGCGGGAGGAGCCGGCCGGGGCTGGCCGCGGAGGCGGGAGGCAGGATTCCCTCCCGCAGCGGCCGCCGCTCCCTGCGCGGGTGGGCGGTGGGCAGGGCTGCAGCGGGACCGGCTTCGCCGCGGGCGGACTGGAGAGACGGACGCAGCCCGCAGCCCCACTTCGGAGCGGCTGGGGCCGCAGCTACGGAACATCCGCAGGTGCCGAGCACAGCCCCGACGGGCGGAACCCAGCGACGGGCAGTCTCGGGAGGAGATGAAGAAAGCGCTGCGAGCGGCCGCCGCGTCTAAAACGACGGAACACGGCGCCTGCCTTCCGCCCAGCTCGTGGCCTCAGGGTCCTGGGATCGAGCCCCCGTCGGCCTCTCTGCTCAGCGGGGAGCCTGCTTCCCCCTCCCCCTCTGCCTGCCTCTCCGCCTACTTGTGATCTCTGTCAAATAAATAAATAAGATCTATAAATAAATAAATACTTAAGAACAAAATTTAACCAATTTGTACATTGAAAACTATAAAACACTGCTGACAGAGACTAAAGAACACCTAAACAAATGGAAAACAGCCGTATTCCTGGAGAAAAGACTTAATATTGTTAAGATGTCACGCAAAGCAATCTACAGATTCGACACAATCCCTGTCAAAATTCCAACGGATTTCTCTGCAGCTATGGAAAGACAATCTGCCAATGCGTATGGGGTTAGAAAGGGACCCTGGATGGCTAAAATAATCTGGATAAACTCGCACTTCCCGGTTTCAAAATGTACTACACGACTATGATAATCAAAACAATGTGTTCCTGGCATAAGGATAGACCTACTGACCAAGGAAACAGAATTGAGAGTCCAGAAATAAACTCATACATCTGTGACCAGTAGGTTGGTTTGTTTGTTTTAGGATTTTATTTATTCATTTGAGAGAGAGAGATGGAGCACACAAGCAGGGGGAGAGGCAGAGGGAGAGGGAGAAGCAGGCTCCTGGCTGAGCCAGCCAGGAGCCTGATGTGGGCTGGATCCCAGGCCCTGGAGACCATGACAGGAGCCGGAGGCAGACACCCAACCCTGTGAGCCACCCGGGCGCCGCCACCAATAGGTTTTTTACAGAGGCACCAAGTCCACTAAATGGGGAAAGGACAGTCTCTTCAACAAATGGCACCAGGTAAACCCAACTGTCTTTCCTCAGGCAAAAGAATGAAGTTGGACTCCTACCTCACACCATATGCAAAAATTAACTCAAAATGGATTAAAACCTATATAAAGAAGCTAAAACCATAAAAAATCTTAGAAGAAAACATAGAGATAAGCCTTCAGACCTTGTCTTTAATAGTGGGTTTTTTTGCGGGGGGGTTAAGTTTGTTTGTTTGTTCGTTTGTTTTAATTTTTAGGGGCACCTGCCCAGCTGTTGAGCGTCTGCCTTCAGCTCGGGTCACGATCCCAGGGTCCTGGGAGCAAGTCGCAAGTCAGCGGGGAGCCTGCTGCTCCCTCTTCTGCTCACCTGCTTGTGCTTGCTCACTCTCTCTGACAAAATCTTAAAATTTTTTTTTAGGTAATCCCTACCACCCAACATGGGGCTCAAACTCACAACCCTGAGATCCAGAGTCACAGGCTTCACCACCTGAGCCAGCCAGGCACCCCTAGTGATGGATTCTTAAATACGACACCAAAGGCATAAAAGGCAAAAGGTAATCCGAACTTCATCAAAATTGAAAACTTTTGTGCACCAAAGGACACCGTCAAGAGAGTGAAAAGAGAGTGTACAGAATGGGGGGGGGGCACCTGGGTGGCTCAGTGGGTTAAGCCTCTGCCTTAGGCTCAGGTCAGGGCCCAGGGACTGAGCCCCTTGAGTTGGCTCAGTCTGCTTCCCCCTCTCTCTCTGCCTGCCTCTCCGTGGGTGCGTACTTTTGATCTCTGTCTGCCAAATAGATAAAATCTTAAAAAAAAAAAAAAAAAAAGTCTTCCAAAAACAAAAGTGGCATATTTTACCATGATTAAAAACAAAAACAAGGGGCACCTGGGTGGCTCAGTGGGTTAAGCCTCTGCCTTCAGCTCAGGTCATGATCTCGGCGTCCTGGGGTGGAGCCCCGCATTGGCCTCCCTGCTCCTTGGGAGCCTGCTTCCCCCCCTCCCTGACCCTTCTCTCTGCCTGCCTCTCTGCCTACTTGTGATCTCTCTCTGTCAAATAAATAAAATCTTGAAAAAAAAAAAAAACTGAAAATCATGTGCTTCCTTGGAGAACTAAAGTGAGGTCCAGAAAACGTCATTACACACAGTAAATTACACGCCAGGGCTCAGCCAGCCACACCCAGAATGGACTTCGCGGGCCTGTAAACCTGCACATCTCCCCTCTGAGGAGCCTGTGGATTCTTCCCCCAGACCCGCCTCTTCCTTCCCTGGCCGTCCTCGGCCAAGGCCACCCTGGGACAGGGCTCCCCGCTTCCCACAGGTGACCACGCGCAGGGGGTGGGGCAGGGTGGGGGGCGAACGAACAAAGGATACGGACCCTGAGATGGGCAGAGGAGTGGCGGGAAGCCAAAGCAGTCCGGAGAGAAATGACCCTCCAGGAAGGAGGACGCTGACCTGGTATGGAGGCTGAGGGCGCTGCAGGAGGGAGCTGGGCTCCCGGATAATGGGTGTCAGGGGCTCGGAGAACGCTGGGAGGAGCGCTTCTCGCAGGGCGGGGGGGGGGGGGGGGGGGGGGGGGGGACTGAAAGCGGCTGGAAAGGGAGGCTTCTACTAGCATGGGTCCTGCCCGCTCCTCGCCCAGCCGAATTGGAACTCCCCAGCCTCAAATGCGCGGCGGGCTCAAGCCTTGGGTCCACCGGACCCGCAGCGAGAACTTTCAGGAACCCACAGGACCTCTCTGAGCTGGTGTACTTTTAATGAATCAAAGTATAAATGTGCATCTTATCCAATTTATAGAGTTGAGTCAGGGGTCAAAAGTGGCAAAGTGGGAGGAAAGTCTGTTTTTATTTTAATATTTTATTTATTTATTTGACAGAGATCACAAGTAGGCAGAGGGAGTGGGAAGCAGGCTCCCCGCTGAGCAGAGAGCCCGATTCGGGGCTCGATCCCAGGACCCCGGGATTATGACCTGAGCCGAAGGCAGAGGCTTTAACCCACTGAGCCACACAGGCACCCCAGAAAAGTCTTTTTTTTTTTTAAGATTTTATTTATTTATTTGACAGAGAGAGAGATCACAAGTAGGCAGAGAGGCAGACAGAGAGGTGGGGGGGAAGCAGGATCCCTGCTGAGCAGAGAGCCCGATGCAGGGCTCGATCCCAGGACCCTGGGATCATGACCTGAGCCAAAGGCAGAGGCTTTAACCCACTGAGGCACCCAGGTGCCCCCCAGAAAAGTCTTAATAAATATTCAAGTCTGCTTAAATCCGAAGAATTATTTTTTTTAAAGATTTTATTTATTTGACAGAGAGAGAGAGTACAGCAGGGGGAGCAGCAGCCAGAGAGACAGGGAGAAGCAGGCTCACTGAGCAGGGAGCCAGATGAGGGACTCCATCCCCAATCCCAGGATCCTGGGATCATGACCTGAGCCAAAGGCAGACACTTAACCGACTAAGGCACCCAGGCGGCCCCCAAGAAATTCTTAATCCACTCTCTTTGCAAACTCCAGGTTAAGGAAATGGGGAGAGGGAGTCAAAGAAGAGAGGGGGGAGGCCATGTGTCCCAGAACTAAAGCACTCTCACTTCCTCATTCCCAGCCTGGGACCTCCTAGAACTGACCTTCGCTATGGGACACAGCGAGTCTGGGATGGTCTAGACTCAGCCTGGCTAGGATGAGAGCCCCTGGGCTCTCCTACACCAGACCTAATCCTCAGTGGGAAACACTGGGCAGCACAATAGACCGTGGCTTCCTACACACCCAGGTCCCTGACAGCTCAGAGCCATCCCCTCCCCCAGTCACGAGAAGCCTCCAGCACTTAGGGGAAGAACGCACCTTAGCAGGCAAACAATCGTGGGTTCAAACTCTGGTTGAACTCCTTATTGGTTGTGTACTTGGGGTTCATTACCTAAACTCTTTGAACATCATTTTTCTCCTCCCTAGAACAGAGATGGCATGTATCTTGGGTTGGTGCTGGGCTTTCTTCTTCATATGGTGAGAGCAGCACTCCAGCAAGAATGTACCAGGCCG